GCACAAAATGTATTATCATTTGAAGAATTATCGTTGCCACATGTTCTATTCTAATAGTATAATACAGCTAAAACGATGTATGAAAGAAATTAAGCAAACAAAACGGAAAAGAAACAGTTTTTCACAGACGATTCAGTATTTCTCATTCAATTAATTCCGCTCTCACTTCGCGACAAGGCAAAAATACATAAAAACTCAAAATATCTGCATTAAAAATTACGAAGTAAATCTTAAACACTTATTTCCTCTAAAAAATTCCAGAAAAGGATTAAGCATGATTTAATTCGCAATAATAAATGAAGGCGTTATTTTTGTGTTGCGAAGCTTAGTCTCTCTAGATTGGCAACAAATCTACAATTCTGTTGTTTCAAATGTAAACAAATATGTCCGCCATGTTATTTAAAACTTAACCGCACTTAAACAGCTTTTAAATTGTTGATAATTGTACAAATATTGCTTCCAGGATTACGAAAGGCATAAAAACCTGAACCAGAAGATAAAAAACAACATAATTCAATCATTTTTAAAGCAAAAACTGTACAATTTACAAACATATAAGAGTAAAGATACTGAGATTACTGAGCCGGGTAACAGAGTGGATATATATATAAATATATTTATATACGTTTGGTGCGGCCGATTGCAACCAAAATACGAGGTGCACATCTACATGTTATAGCAGTCTTGTTATGTAGAGAAATTATCTGATAGTGTTATAAAAAAAAAAAAAAAAATTAGGTAATGATTTTATGATTTATGGAAATTTAAATTTTATTTTGATTCTGAATTATTTATTTTAAGGCTTAATTTTTGGGGAAAAACAGATGCTTCTGGAAATATTATTTAGTTTAAATGAATATTATTTATTTTCTTTTATTGGCAAATCTTGTACAAACTTTATCATTGTGAAAGAAGCAGGGAAGGGAGGCAATTTTCGCCAAGTCATGATTTCGCGCGCTTTAGAATGTTCGAGAAAGAATTTTCATTGTTAGTTGACCTTAAGAGAGGAAAGTACGTGACGGAAAGGTCAAAGGTTGCTACTTGTCTTTCAATGTAAGTCATTGAGGTTTTTGGCGATTGAGGGTCCGGTTGTTGGCTAAGTGAAGAAGGGCGCGCATGCGCGATCACCCTTATTTCCGCATTCTGGAGTTGAAAACGAAGATTTTGCCATAATTAAGGGGGCGATAAGTGAAGCCATAGTTGGAGCCCGTTTTGGGAAGGAGGCGAAGGAAATTCGAGTTGGATACACACTTACTCTTGGACTCGCTTAGGCACTCACGCTTGGATTCGCTGACTTTCGGTTTGCTGGTCTGTGGACGTTACTCTTGAAAACTGGCTTGAAGAAAATTGGAGTTGGATTCTTCCCTTACTGACTGGTGGGTGGAATTTACTTGGGTCGTTACTCGTGAAGCTTGCTCTTGGGATGAGTAAGAACAGGCGAGCTGAAATGGCCTAGAAAAAAAAACGTTTCTGACCTGAGCCTGAAAACCCTCTTCCTTGCGGCGTGCTGGTAAAGAGGCGAAATTTGAACGAGTTACCTGCGTGTGGACATAGGACTTTCAGGACCAAGCGGATAGCCGCCTGGGCAGCAGTGCTCCTGTTTCTGTTCTACAGTAGTGAAGTGGAGTCTACATTTTTAGAACCTGTGTCAAGATGAGCCCGGCCGACATCAACTCTTGATAAGATAAGAGTCCTCCGCTTCAAGATGTCCCCTCAAGCTAAGTTGTATTTTTTGGTGTGTTTGAACCCTAGGCAGTTTTTTCAAAAACGTCCTTAGCATAAAAAAACAACGTCGAATCTAAAATTTCTCTCAGGCCTTAAATTGTTTCCCTTTCCGTTCTTTTAAATCACCAGACAAACCTTAAGTTTTTTTTATGAATTTTAAATGAACAGACTCTCAGATGAGGTTAAGATTTTTCTTATTGTGTTGTAATTGAATAAACTGATATTTAATCGGGACCTCTTACAGTATGTTTTTTTATATATTTAATATGAACTTTTTCCTTTATATCTTGTATGGTTTTATGTTTTCGATCCTCTCACGGCGCGGTCCCGGAATGCTTTTTTTCACAACGCAAAAAATGCTGTACACGTTTCACTATACGATCACTCCTTTAACGGCAGTAGTTTCATATTTAACATTTAACAATATAGGAATTTCAGATATAACATGGTACCTAGAAGTAAAAACTATTTAACCATGGTCTCGAAAACGTTTCTATATAACAGTCTTATATACAAAATTTCAACGTTTTGAGGTTACTCGTTTTTGAGTTATGCGAGATACGTTCATACAGACGCCACGAAAGATTCTCTTCAGAATTCATTTTAAAGCAGTTTTATAATTTTTTTGGAGGAAAGGTGTCTTTTATTCTGTCCTTACGCACAGATATCACGCAAAAGCATCGTTAATTGCATTCGATAGCGGTCAAAATGGATATTTTCGATGAAATATGCTGCCTGAAACTTTTCACGATTACAATACTTCCTTTTTACTTCGTACAAGGAAGTAAAAAGAGTTTTATTCAGTAAGTTATTAAAATAAAAAATAAGAGAAAGTTAAATCTCCAGTATTTCTGAATTTATTTCTCTGTTGTTTTTGTTAACAATTGTACATGCCTTTTAGATGAAAGGAATCACGCAGTAAGTAATAGGATCTACATGTTCCAGGTCTAAAACTCAACAGAATACGGAATTAAGAAGCGTTTTTGAACAGCGTTGAAAAGAAGCTTTTCGGAAATTTTTCGAACGGCATCTGTGTTTTTGGTTGCTCTGCAGGAAATGCAAAAGGAAGGAATGCTGCGGTGGGTCTCATGAAATGGAAAGACCTAAACATTTTGCAAGTTAGTTGTTGTGATTTATCTCACTTGTCTGACAGCAACATCAAAACAAGTCCACGAAATTCACCGTGGCAAGGAGTGCCAGATCGCTCCTGTCGTTGGCATGAGCCTTGAGCACCGTGAGAGTACGACTTAAGGGGACTCATACACCTTAAACCTCTCATGTTTTTCGAATATGTGACTGTTGCAAGAATTGTAATATTTTATTTATTTTAAAAGCAATTACTTCCAACTTTTTACAGCTGACTACATAATATAGCTGCTTTGGGAAATAGTAAACAGAAAGTTTGTGTTGCCACAAATACTTTTGTAATTTAATCCTCTTTGTGACAAAATATTTCGCCATGTTTCCACCTTGCGCGCATGATATTTTAAAAATGGCTGATGGTACATACTTGAAATTTGACGGAAATCTTTATATGGGCACTATTTTCTAATTAAACCAAAAATCTGATGAATATTTTAATATTGAAAAATTTTATGGACGAAAACATTAAAAATTTTGTTAATAAAATACATTTTATAAACTGAACTCAAAATAAAATAAAAATTTGACATGAAATTTTTAGAATTTTAGGTTCACAGTAGTTTCCAAATGTTATAAAAGCTATATATTAAATATGGAATTAAATTATGCAACAGAAGGTTTTAAACTGTGCGCGCAAGTTGGAAACATGACGAAAAATGTTGTCACAAAGCGAATTTAATTATTAAAATATTTGTGGCAACACAAACTTTCGGATGACTATTTCAGAAAGCAGCTATATTATGTAGTCAGCTGTAAAAAATTGGTAGTAATTGCTTTTAAAATAAATAAGTTATCCCAATTCTTGCAACAGTCGTCTATTCGAACATCTTATGGGTTTTAAGGTGTATGAGTCCCCTTAAACATTTCACACGTTACTGAGATTATACGAGTCAACAGAACACAAACGATTCAGAAAACAATGTCTGTTGCTTAATCACAAGTCATCCGCATACTGTCACAGGATCTGAATATGCATCGAGTTTGTAAACACATGATTTTGAAATATCTCACGACAACATTATTTTTTGCTCTTTGACGCTATCGCATTCACCTGAGCTCACTCTACTTGAAATGAATCTTAGTCGTTTCCTGAGCTGGTGGATGGGACATCAATATTCTAATATTTGACAATTTAAAAACAAAATACATTTATGGCACCAGTTTGCGATGTTTGTAATAAAGATGCATGTGTATTAGATATAACGACATCTAATCATTGGACCGAAGCTTATTTTAAAGGAGAAATTTCAGAAATACTCCAAAGGCTTGTAGAGACATTAGGTAATTTTTGGAAGCAGGAAAGATGAAAAATGAGCAAACACCTTCGAACCACGGACCTCTAAATTACGCGCTGAGCGTACAGGCAACTACACCACGAAGGTATGCCAAAAGAGAGTACGACTTAAACATATCACACGTTTAGGGGAGAAATACGTTACATACTCCCCCTTTTAAAGGGCGACTGGGTTTTCTTAGTGGACCCAGTCGCCAAATCCTAGGTGAGGAGAATCATCATCCAACACTCTTTTAGTTCGGGCGCCATTATAGAGACATTAGGTAATTTTTGTATGCAGGAAAGATGAAAATTGAGCAAACGCCTTCGCTGGGAATCGAACCACAGACCTCTCAATTACGCGTTGAGCGTGCAGACCACCACACCAATGCCAAGAAAGTGGGTGATATACCTTATAGGTTTTTTTCAAGCGCTAAGAAATGTATTTTTATGAAAGGGTCTTACTCGCAAGAAGGATAAATTTCGTATTATAATCTAGACTTACAACTCAGTTCGTGAATTTTTAGATCCTACTGAAAACATTATTATAAGAATTTTCTTCAACGAATGATCAAAGCATGAGGAATCTTGTCCATTCGAAAATAGGAGCATCGCATCTCACCTACCTTTCAGTTATTGCACAGAGCATTGCATCTTACATATCAATTAGTTATTTGTAAATCATTGTATCTGAACTATCAATCATAATATTGCATCTGATTTATCAATCAGTAACTATGCAATTCGTACTATCAAGTACCTCTCTCGAGCAGATCTCGATTGTGATTAGTAACTTTTTTCTTCTGTTTCTTATTTCCATAATAAAATAACAAAATTTTATTGCGATAAGCAGAAACAATAGTCCTTGAGTAGGGGTGCTACCTAAACACGTTTGTTTGTACAGATAATAAAGCTTATAAATACGGTATATGACTATCCCATTTTATCGAACATGCGAAGCAAGTCATCAGCTTTCTTTGTGCCTACAGCTAAAGGTACGTAAGATTTTATAACTTGGTAGGTAAGATTTGCCAGTTTTAAAATAAGAACAGGTACTTCTCTTCTCAATTTAGAAGGAGTCAATATCCAGTAAAATATGAATTACAGAAAAGGCAAAAGATTAAACATAAAGATTAATTACGAGGGACGGAAAAAAAAAAGCCTTTTCGATAAAAAAAAAGTTCTCGCATTTTATTTTAGGTATTAAATTTACTTAAAAAAAACAATCAAGGTACCAGCATATACAAGTATAATTTTTCAAGGATATTTTTGTGGAGTGTTTTATTTACTGTCCATTAGAAATTAAAGACTTCGTATAGCGGGATAATAATGGAGATAACAATGTTTTTTTCCGTTCAGTTTTGTGATTGCTCGCTTTAAAATCGTTGAATTTGTTAATCAAAAATTCTTTAAAGTTTTAGAAAATATGAAATCGATTATAAAAAAAAATTCCAAATTAGAGCTTCCAGATGCCCATATTCGATGGAGGACTACGTTATTCAGAACTGGGTGGCTCTAGGTACCGTTGTTTTATCACAATGCGAGAAACATATATACATTTATGCAGATTCCTCATTGTCCATTTTTTTAAATATAGCACAGGGCGATAATATTTGGTGGCAACAATTTGAAAAGTGAACCGATATTTAAAGTTAATTTATATTATTATTTAGTTATTTAATGACCATTAATGTTGTATTTTTGGAGTAGAGTAAGAAAACAAACAAAAACACAGCAATATTTACAATAAATTAGAAACACTGTGTTAAAAAAGTATAATATATTGTCATATTTTGTAAAACGCAAACCCAACACAATGAAATTCTCAAGAAGGTAGACTATTATTTTAAAGTTAGGAAGTTATTTAAAAATTTTTTTAAGCTAGAGTGTGTAATATAACAAAGAAAATGTATATTTTCTCATTAAAATTCATGTTTAACATATAAAACGTTATAAAAAATGCATTTACCAATTATCAATTAGTAAATAGTCAGTCTCCTTACATGAAGTGTTCTAAATATGTATACCAAATTGCATAAGATTTCAATCATAATTTTGAAAGATATTGTGTTTCTTGTTAGCATTAAAACACGAAAAAGAAAAAACGAGATAACGCATTAAAAGAATTCAAGCACTCGTATAACGTGTAATGTGCCTTCACATTCATAATGTGTAATGTGCCACACTCGTATAATGTATAATGTGCCTTCAATCCATACTTGGTCGACTGAATATAATATGAAAAATGCATTGTTTGCACTGTGACGATACAACTACTAGCACCCCGCGGGCACAGGTGCTGAATTATAACTTCCTGTTTGTTCGCGGAGGAAATGGACGATACCTGCAAAAAGCAGGACTACAGATAAAACCCCCTGGGAGTTTCCGGACACAAGAAAATAATTATGTTTCTCTTCGCAAATAACAAAACGAGTGAAATCTTTGTGTAAGAGTTCTTCATGTGATTCTGAGGTGACATTACGCATCTTTTACGTTCTAAACCACGTTTAGAACATAACATAAACGTTCAGTGGTTTATGTAGAACAATAGTTTTTTTTTTTTTTTTTTTTATGCTGTAGCTACAGTAAAAAGGACGCTTTTTTGCGTCCAATCTGCGTTAGCGGATATTGTATGATTTAGAACTGAAATGATCAGTTTATTTTTATGTTTTAATCAAGAAATCTATTTTAGTTTATCAAATAAATAATTTAAAAGACAACCTGTCTTTCTTTCACCCGACACGGATGTACTGACGTTACAGCACAGTGTGACAATAATTGTAGCATGATGACTCTTCAAAACAATAAGATTTTTCAAAATGTCCTACATTCTGGACTCAGTTACAAAAATTTAATTTTCTTGATTTTTGTTTAGTTCATCGTGTTACCCATTAATGTTTTATCATATCATATCTAGTAAGTACATTTAAAGAATAAGAATTATACATCATTATATGAACTTCTGCAAAAGTATTATAGGCTACTTTTAATCAGTTTGTAAACTTAAAATTCCTCTGATTTTATAACTAATGCCCTCTTGTTTCTCAGAATTTACATTTTTTTTTTCTTTCTCGCAGCTCTTAAAAATTTTCTCTGCTTTTTAAAGCGAAATCAGGGAATGTCGTTTTGCATTGTCGATACGGTTAACATCAAACCTTTCATACTTGTTTCCAGTGTAGTAACCAATATCTATAACAATATCTATCTATACCTATAAAAATTAATGAATATTACTCAGTAATAAATAATAAAAACACTTATCAGCAATGTAAACACAGAATCAAAACACGATGGAAAATGCGTTAGTGAATTCATAACACACAGCTTGAAAATTTGCTAGAACTTTGTTTCGTTGCCATCATAAAAATAGTTTTGGTCTTTAAAATGCAATTAAATAAAATTTAAAGCCCCAAAAATAAAAGTAAAGAACTCTTATACAACCAATTCGGCCTTTTAAATATTTACGCCTTGTACAATTCTGGTATGCCTTTCGAGGACAAGGTGTCAAATAAAGTATCATAACTCCGGTTAAATGAACGTAGGAACAAAATTCAAACAATTTTGGAAACATGAGAAATAAGACTTTTATCGAACGTAAGAAAAAAAAAAGGAGTTTTATGACCAAAATCTCGGTTTCTGAGGTATACATCCCCCTTAAAATTAAATGGATTAAATTTAGCCTAACAGCTCAGAGGTAAATTAAGACGCAGGTGGGTTCTAAATTCACAAAAGTCCACTTACGTAAGAAAGTCTAATGGCAAGAAGCGTTCGACGCCACAGATGTCTAATCGCTAGTAAATCAGTGATCGTAACGTGGCCTTCCAGCAGGCAGAACATGCTATAAATTCACCCTTCAAACCTTTCCCTTAAATACTAACTTCATTCTACCTCATTTGAATTAAGGCGCGCTAGATCATTTACATTTTGGCAAGAAAGTATGACTTCAAATCAAGAACAGCCATAAAAAAGGTTGCTCCAAAATAAAATTAACTGTTAGGTAAATTGAATAAATCTCCACTGTATAAATGTTAAAATATTAAAACTGTAAATCTCTAAGATTAAACAATACGTGCACTTTATATGTGTTGTTGTAAATAGAGCAAAGATTGCGAATGCAACGACGAAACTTTGTTCAGAAGTTGTAATACTGTTATCGCGTAATGAAAGTATTAAAATTTATAAACCAGAGGAATGTATAAAAATGTAGATTTACATTAAAGGCTTAACTGTTTACTAATGAGTTAAAATAACAACAGTAAAACAAAAATAATAAAAGGTAATAATTCAAACAGAAAATATTAATTGAAATTAAATGGATGAGGTTCGAATAATTTCATTAGAATAAAAAAAATTAATAATTCTTTTATTATTCCTTTGTTCTGTTTCAGATGACATGTTCACTCAAGCTAACTACATTCTCTACTTGTTCTAAATGTATATGAGTTTGATTTATGTTTAGAATATTTCGATTCCGGGAGTTCAATTGGTTAATAACAGGCTAACTATTAAAACTGATAATGTATAAATATTTTAGAGTAATATATAGTTTTCCTTTTGTTGAGCATTAAAAAACATGAGCACGCATTCATTCGAAACTCAGATCTCTATGTGTGTGTGAGCTGTTTGGGAAACATTCAGTCCTAATATAACTAAACTGATTTTCATTTCATAATATTAGTTAAAGGCGATTATAAATCTCTCCGCTTTTAACTTATCATTATTTAAATCATTTTGCAATGATAGAACTGATAGAGAAGCCTGATTATACCGTATGAACATCACGTACAGTGGATGGACAAAAATATGGAAACACCTTGTGAAATGCATGTTTGAAAAGAAAGATTGATTTTAATGAAATATGTAGTTGGCGCTGGCGTTTTTGACTACTGACGCCACCTATACAACTTCGTAAATGTGCTAAACAGTTCAGTTGTTGTCGGAGTACTGTTATGTGAGGTTGTCATTGCATTATGTCAGAGTTAACAGACTCCGAACGTGGGCAAATTGTTGAAGCACGTATGGTAGGTGCTTCCGTAAGCAAGGTAGCCGAGGTGTTTCAAGAGGTACTGTATCGAAGATTTATTCCGCATATTTGAAAAGCGGAAAAACATCATCTGCTAAATCACAGCGCGGACGAAAGTGTGTCCTGAGTGATTGTGATAGACGATCATTAAGGGCAATTGTGACGAAAAATAAGAAGACCACAGCTGCAAAAGTTACTGCTGAAATGAATGTTGTGTTACCGAACCCTGTGAGTACCAAAAACAATTAGAAGGGAGCTTCATAAACAGGGAATTGCTGGCCGTGCTGCAATTGAGAAGCCACTCATCAGTGATGCTAATGCCCGTAACAGGAAAAGGTGGTATTCAAGTCATAAAGCCTGGACTATAGAGCAGTGGAAGCGAGTAATATGGTCTGACGAGTCTTCTTTCACATTGTTTCCCACTTCTGGCCGAGTTTACGTCTGGAGAACGCCATCTCAAGCCTATAATACAGACTGCTTGTTGCCAAGAGTGAAACATGGCGGGGCTTCTGTTGTGGTTTGGGCAGCCATATCGTGGTTCTCTGCTAGCCCCATGATAACTGTGTCAGGGCACATGACTGCCATGACTTATGTGAACATTTTGGCCGATCATGTTCATTCCCATGGTACAAAACTTTGTTCCCCGATGGTGATGGGTTGCTTCCAAGACGACAAAGCCCCTGTTCACACAGCTCACATTGTCCAGGACTGGTTTTCTGAGCACGAGGATGAGTTGTCCCATCTCCCCTGGCCACCACAGTCACCAGACCTGAATATTATCGAACCTTTGTGGTCTATATTGGAACGGAAAGTGCGTTCTCGTTATCCACCGCCAACAACGTCATCTGAACTTGCCACCGTTTTGCAGGAAGAATGGTATAATATTCCCTTGGCAAACATACAGGAACTGTATTTATCCATTCCGAGAAGACTGCAAGCTGTTTTGGATGCCAACGGGTTTCCTACACCATATTAAGTAAAGAAACATGTTTTTTTAATGGTCTTTCCATATTTTTGTCCAACCCCTGTAGCTTTGCAATATTCATGCTCTCATTCAATTGCTCATCAGTTTTGAATTATACTGGTTGTAGATTGCATAACTATTTTTAATAGATTTTAATTTCTATTATCTCACTTTATTTTATCATAAGTATTATCAGCGACAGTGGTAGTGACTGCTATGAACTGTAAATTACACAAACTCGTAAGAAGGGTTTAAATCCCCTTTTTATTCCACTTTAGAAATAACAGCTGCGTTCACTTGACGCTCACAACACAAACTACGCCGACCCGGCGGTTTTAACAAAAACAGAAATGTGAAACTAAAAATAAATGACAGGATGAATAAATAATGAGATCACTACCTACGAGGCTCTAAAATCGTAACTAAACTTAAACCGCGTTCTAAGATACAGCTGAGATTCAGCAAGCTTACTGATTAAGCAGTTGAAGATTCAACGAACTGCCGAAAATAGGCACACAGGCCAAAACGCGCGGTTCTTAAAATTTCTACCTAGCAACCTTCACGCTCGCGATTCAAGAAGCACACATACAAACTCGTTTCCCTTCTATTTAAACTCAACTTACTTCTGCTAAAAGTTGAATAGACTGCGCGTTCTACTACGATTTACATACTCTGGCATTGGCAATTCTAGGGGAAAGTAAAGGCTTGACAGGAAAGATAGCTTAAAATAAATGTTAGTTAAAATAAATATAAACCCTACAATATTATCAAAACAACATCTGACTCTTTATATTCCTATTTTTCCAATTGTCAGAATTATCTTCATAATATATGAATCCATGTTATCAGACAGAAATGTTCTCACCGATATGTCTAATTAGCTTTTTTATATTTACAGTCAATATGATCTGCCTTTTTGTGGTCTTCGCTGCACTCACCTCAGGAGTTCTCGGTGGTTCCTTATGTCCTCCAAGAGAGAATATTTATCCTTGTACTTGTTTTAATACTCGTGTAGGAAAGAATTTATATCATACCATAGTATCCTGCCATAGACTGCGAAGCACGGAATCCTTTGCACCGATTTTTCTCTTTTTGAAATCACTTAAAATCGATCAGTTTTATTTGTTCGATTCCTTTTGGGATGCTCATATGTTGGGAGAGGAGCACAACAAGGTTCTTCCAAAAAATTGGCTGACTACGCTCAAGATAAAGGAGATTGATATCGTCGATAGTACTTTAGCAGCTTGCTTTGCTTGCAGTCCGATGCTTACGTGTAGCAATAGTGTTACAACCAGGTAAGGCAAATAATTAAACTGAATTGAAAGTTTTATATGTTAATGTATTTTAATACTTCATAAATATCATATTTTTAATGTCAACACTTTCGTCCTTTAATATGAAGCAACATATTAAAATATTTGCTTGCTGCAGAGATGTAAATGCATATATGTGTTCATAAATTAGCTCTCAAAATTAATCATATTCTTACAATGCAATATTTACCTTAAAGGCTAAAGTCCGATGTGGTACATTTTTTACGCCTATGCAACATTAAAACAAGCTGTTAGATGTTTTGATCGTTAACAATATTAGTATACTTATAAGGGCGGACGAGTTGAAAAGTAAAAAATTTCCAAAAATTTAAACAAGCAAATTTAATAAAGCAAAATTTAAGAAATCTGATGTGTACATCACATGAATTCCTTGTGCGGAATATAAAATTATACGCATTTTTTTTTTTTTTTTTTTTTTTTTTTTTTTGCATTTTGTTTACACTTATTGGACTGAATTATATCTACTTCGTCGATAGCACATAAACCACAATAGAATAAATGCACTCTTTAAAATTCGCTCTATTTGTTTACTATAGCGACACTCTGGCGCTAGGTTCACTTAACGGCGTTATATTTCGTTCATATTATAACGCAGAATGTACAAAATTTATATCATTTGAAGAATTATCTAATCGTTGCCACATGTTCTATTCAAATGCTATAATAAATCTAGAATGATGCACGAAAGAAATTAAGCAAACAAAACAAAAAGAAACAGTTTTTCAGAGACGATTCAGTATTTCTCATTCAATTAATTCACTTCTCACTTCGCGACAAGGCAAAAATGCATAAAGACACAAAATATCTATATTAAAAATTATGAAGTAAATCTTAAACAATTATTTCCTCGAAAAAATTCCAGAAAGGATTAAGCATGGTTTAATTCGCAATACTAAATGAAGGCGTTATCTTTGTTGTTGCAAAGCTTAGTTAGTCTCTCTAGATTGGCAACAAATCCACTAGTCTCCTGTTACAAATGTAAACATCAATGGCCGCCATTAAAAACAGGCTTAGCGGCAATTAAACAATTTTAAAATTGCTGATAATTCTAAAAATATTGCAGACAGATTTACTAAAGGCATAAAATCCTTAACCGGAAGTTAAAAACAATATAATTCAATCATTTTTAAAGAAAAAAATGTACAATTTACAAACATTTAAGAGTAAAGAAACTGAGCACACTGACGGTGGATATATATATATATAATATACTTTTGGCGCGGCCGTTTGCAACCAAAGTACAAGGTGCACATCTACATGTTATAGTAGTCCTATATACAAAATTTAAACGTTTTGAGGCTACTCGTTTTTGAGTTATGCGAGATACGTACGTACGTATGTACAGACACCGCGAAAAATTCTCTTCGGAATTCATTTTAAAGCAGTTTTACGATTTTTTTGCAGTAAAAGAGTCTTTTATTCTGTCCTTACGTACATATGTCATGGAAAAACATCGTTAAATTGCAATCGATAGCGGTCAAAATGGATATTTCCGTTGAAATATGCTGCCTGAAACTTTTCGCGATTACAATACTTCCTTTTCACTTCGTACAAGGAAGTAAAAAGGTTTTTTTTGTGACGTCTGTACGTAGGTACATATATATGTATCTCGCATAGCTCAAAAACGAGCAGCTGTAGAACGTTGAAATCTTGTATATGAATGTGTTACAACCTGCATTTTGTACAGCTCCCGTGTTTGTTATAATCGGCCTCATCAAACGTATATACATATTCTGACTTTGTTACCTGACTCGGTCAGCTGAGTTTTTCTATTCTTATAAGTTGGAAAATTGGGCATCTTTTACTTTAAAGTGATTGAATTAGGTTGTTCTTATGTTCCGGTAAAGGTTTTCATGCCTTTAGTCAATCCGCATGCAGTTATAGAATTATCAACAACTTAAAAGTTTAAGTGGCGAGTTAAGCCAAGCAAGGCCGCCATTTTTGTACATTTAAAACTATTAGTAGAATAGGGAATTAAGTCATTTGGTGCACCAACTTCGATGTCTTTTTGTCCAGTGGAATAGTAAGTTGACTTGCATATTCACAAAGCCTACAGACCATTTCTCTAAGGTCTGCTCTCATTGGATGAAACATCTACTTGGCGGTCATATTTGGAATGGCGAGTTATCGCCCTGTAGGCGTGGTAATTAACGCCAAACAAATGGAAACAGCGTTCATTTCATTCGATAATTTTTTTATTTTATGAATGAAAGCTAAGAGGAATTGTGTGGAATATATTTTAAATAACCTACTAATCTTATTAATAGTTTATTTGAATTTGAATTTAAACTATTTAAAGTACGATAATTGTTTTGCAAGTAAAGGTTTTTACATGGAAATGGCACGTGTACTTTTTCGTCATTTCTGTTAGAAAGAGCCTGTTGTGTAAATTTCCATAGCGCATTAATTTATACAAATAAAGGAATATTAAAAAATAAACCAAATGAAAACATTCAGTAAACATTTAAGGGCGTCGGATACCTATCTTTTTACCTAAATTATGAAAAAGTAAGTATAACTAAAATAATATTTTATCCCATTATGCGCTATTTCTATTGAAACGCTTTTCGGGACCTTGGATCATAATTTTGCTACTGGTACCTACTACAAAGAGTACAAACCAGTAAATAAAAATAAGAAAAATTAACAAAAATAGAGGAAAAAAAAAACTGAAATGTTTCAGATTTTAAATTACGTCCAAAGGGGCGTTTTTTAACATTTTGTGTGTTACCTTTCTTTATTAAATATCATGTTCCTCGCACTTAAACCATAAGATCCAGTGCAACAGCAATATCGCAAAATAGTTTTAAAACGAGCATATCTTTAGAATTTCCGATACAGAGACTCACGCGCTGGAGATAAAAATGTTTTTTCTGCACAACGTTGCCATTGCTCGCTTTGAAATCCTTGAGTTTGTTAATCAAAAATTCGTCAAAGTTTTAAAAAATAGGAAATCGATCATAAAACAAATTTCAAATTTCAAATTTGGGTCTTCCACATGCTCATATTCGTTGGAGGATTACGTTATTCAAAATTCGATGACTCTATGTACCGTTATTTTATGACAATGTGAGAAATATACATACATTTACGCAGATTTTCATTATTTAATTTCTTCAAATATAATGCAGGACTCTAACATTTTATGGCAACAGTTTGAAAAGTGAACCGACATTTATCCGTCCGACGCAAAATGCCAAAACGAAACTAATAGTCCTTCGGGATTCAAATCCCTTTGGACTAATAAAGACGTTTAATTTTTAACACCGTACCCAAACAAATAATGACGAAGTCATTCAATAAAGTTAACATAAAAAATTTAAAAAAAACCGTGTAGAGCAGAGTTTATGAAAGCTACGAACGGGCATAGAACCGGCGATCTAGAAGTCTGAGAACTTTTTCCGCGCTCGTTACCGTTGAGGTGCGTTTTCGCCGGTCAGCTATACTCAAATTTTGGTACACCACGCTTAAATACAAATTCTAAAGGCGATGAACCAAAAGTCGCCAAGCACTAGGTTCTGTAACCCTACGTTTCCTGTTTCAACCAATCGGAGCAAACAGCAGTAGAAACAATCTGTAGGCTTTGTAAATAAGCAGTTGACTTCTAGTTTTGTGCAGCGACAACTTTTTCTTCCTGCCCACCGACCGAATTGCTTTTCTTTGCGCAGAAGCTCTAATTTCTATTCCAAAATTTTTTAAAACTATTTGGTGTTTTAGGTTTTTCTGTATTTGGTAATTTTGAATGAAAATGCTTTGAGTTTTCATGTATTTTATTTTTGCCTTGCCGCGTAGTTAGAATTGAATTGTTGAATTAGAAATATATGTCTAATGAAATCCGAGGAAAATGAAGTGCAACAAAAAATAGGCATAATTTAATAGACCGTTCAAGGAAGTCATGTGGTGTCCAGATCAGGTATTTTTCTCGAACTAGCTTTTTTCTGCTATATTTTCAATGATTGGCTTTATGTGTCCACTTGCATGAGATAAATATACTCGTTACCCGCCTTTAAGGCAGCACTATTGCGCCTTTGCAACTTCTTTACCTTGCCTCTATTGTTTTATCACTCTGCTTTCTGTAATATAGAAAAGAAGAAAATAACTGTGAATATTTTTGAATTCTATAATTGACTAAAATGTCTTTATTACAAGTATAATGTTTTTAAATACGTTTCGTTCTAGATTCACCGTGTCAAACAGCACAGAGGGAGAAAAAATATGTACACTATGCGAAACAGGAAAAGGAAATAAATATTCATGGACTGGTTGCATGAAGAAGTTGCAGAGCTTTCACTTCATTAACAGTCAGATAACTCAAATCGGTCTCGATCTCTTTCCAATGCCTATGAGGGATCTTGTTGTTTTGAACGTATCAAGAAATGCTATAACAAAAGTGGATTCAACAGTCTTTAAGAATCTTAAAAAACTCAAGTCACTTGATCTGTCTCATAATCAGATCGATAAACTGGATGCTCTGTTTGCATTCGAAATGAATTTAGAATTTCTCGATGTGAGGTAAGATTCTTTTTACAAGCTCTCCGTCTTTTAAAAATGTTAATAAATGATACAAATTTTCAGATGTTAATAAAATGCTTACTATGTACACTGCAAAAAAAAAAAAGGGAACAGGTTTATATCTCCCGTTCTATCGGGCCGATTGATGAAATTCAGCTTGCGTTTCTAAAGTCTCGAAAGCGCGACTTAGGATATGTATTAGATTTATATATAGCATTGTTCTAATATAGGTATTTTGACACAAAATCGCACTTTTTCTGAAATGACATGCAAATGTTTTTCCATATTTCGATTCTAAAACTCAAATCATGCCAGACTGCCAAATTTTGTGAAACTCGCACGATTAGTTTTTTAAAAATTCGCTCTCAAAATTTTAGCTCCTCCATGTTAATTCAATTATGTATATACAGTCAAAAGTCGTTAATCCGGACTCGTCAGGACTTCGGCGATTCTGGATTATCGATTTTTCCGAATTATAGATCATCAGTTTAAATCTGGTAAGATGGCATGCAGAAATTATAAAATTAAAAATATGAAACCGTAATTTATGAAATAAAGAACAATTATGATCTAAAGGGTATCAAAATTTACACAAAAAAAAAGCTTAATATTTATTTGTTTACTTTATTAAACATTTCTTTCAATGTAAGTTGTTTAAGTTGCTTCGTTTTTTATGTGATAATACATTCTCTTTAATTCTATAAACAGACATAATTTCTTGTTCAGTTACAAAGTTTCGCTGTTAAGTCCTATAATTGCTGTGTCGAGAATACCGACTAATTTGTCAATCGAAATTTTTTCGTTTTCAATAACCTCTGTCACTTTATTCGCTATCGGAAGCGAATTATGACAAGGAATTTGATTTAAATCATATCAAAGACGGAGTACATCGAGATGAAATACTATATTTAGTAAGGAATTATAAGCCAAATAAAATAAAAACATCTGCCCTGAAGATAAGGATAGTGCTGACAGATCAACTTCCAATTCATTGCGCGCCGCGGCGTTAAAGATAAACAAAGTTTAGATAAACAAATGTTAGATAGTTCTATATCTAACTTTTAGATTCTAAGTTTTATTAAACTTAGAATTATTTATATTCTAAGTTTAGATAAACAAAGGATATACCTTTATCCATTTTTTGCAACAATTCCACTTTTTGTTTAATGGACTTCGAAACATACTTTCGCTTTGTAGATCCTTTACATATTAGTAAATATATATCAGAAATTCTATTTGACATAATCGAAAGTTCAAGCTTACTTTTATAAAATTGCTCTAACAGTCTGCAAAAAATAATAAGCTGAATCCTATTCGAAGATTAAGGAACAACGCAATCTGCAACATTAACTGAATTAGATAATTTTAACTTAGCTTATACCGTCCGTTATACATTAAACGCGCATTCGTAAACGTATTTTGCGCACGCGCACACGCGTATTCGCAGCCGTAAAGGTCTTATGCCCATGTGTAAACGCTAATGCATGTGTCAACGCGACGCATGCGCAGAAAGTTTTTAACTTGTAGCTTTGAGGTCCGGATTATAGATCATTCCCGATTATGGGTGTCCGAATTAACGACTTTTGACTGTATTTATTAATATCTCTTTTAATATTAACCTTTTTTTATTCTTTCTTTCACATTTCAAAATTTTTTATTTGAAATGAATCTTTATTTTTAAAATTTACATTTTTAAATAATTTTTATAATTTTTTTGAAGAAACTTTTCAATTACAACCTATAAAATTTTTAAAATCATCTTAAAGTAGATGTATTAATGTAATAATAGAATTATCTTATCCTGTTGTGATTTATCGCCCAAACTACTTAACTGCAAACACAAAATAAATAGAAAATTAAAGCCCAATATAAAAGTTTATTAAATCACTCTTAGTGGCCTAGGACTCCAACTAAAACGATAACTTGACATCCTAAAAGATGAGACTCTTTTCTGCAGTAAAATTTTCACATATTTGCAAAATAATATTCTAACCCGAAACTAAACATAAGGTCGGCTACACTACAGTTAAACCTGCAAATCACTTAAACAGGCCGCCCAGATCTTTGGCAAGGTTAGGCTCTTCCCAAGGCTGACGTGACTAATTTGCAGTTGGAAGAAACAAAGACACAGAAGGACTAATGGAGAAGTTGCTTTTGAGCAGACTAGAGGTCAGTGACGTCATACAAGAGCAAATCTTTTAGTAAAGTAAACCTGGTTTGGCATTCAATCAATGCAACTGGAACTTATGTTCAGAAAGGCAGCGATAATGCGGCGAATGTTCCAATAAAGACTACAGTTGATATTAAACTCCTCTTTTTAAAATATGTGCTGTTTTTAAATTTCCACAACTTTCTGATAGGATTTAAATTAAAACTCAATTATCTGCAAAACTTTTAAAAAATTGTTTCAAAGGAATTTTGTAATTTTTTTGTTGTTCTCAGCATTCTAAGATTTTGTACTTAGTACTTGAAGTCATTTAATCTATTAAATGCAAAAATATAACCGTCAAAAATAAAAAATAAAAAAAAATATGTGTTTTCGAAGATTTTAAAATTTCTGTAAACTGTAGAGTTGAAGAAAGGAAAAAAAAATTGTGCCAAAAATTATTAATCCAAAATATTGTCAAACTTCAAAAATACGTTAATCTCGATGCCTATTACATGTATCTTTATTAAGTATCTTAATTATTTGCTTTACATGTAACAGTACTAGCACTGCAACTTAACATTTTCATGTCTTTATTTTAAAATCACAGCTGGAATGTGATTAAAACGATAGGACAGCAGTTTTTCAAAAACCTACCACAATTGAAGACATTAATTGCAGAAGCCAATGACATTGTTGAACTGAAAGAGGCCGACTGGAAGGATGTAAAACCGGCTCTAAAATTTATAGATCTCAGAGGTAATTATTTGTCTCTTGTTTCATAATTAACAATTTTTTATCCATCGCAGAATTTTTGATCTCCAGAAATCTTTAAAAATTAGGAACTATTCTGATATACGCGCTCAAATCGCCAAATTTCTCGCCAAACATTTTGATTTGTAGCGTGGAGTTTCTCGCCAAACATTTTTGGCGAGAAACTCCACGCTACCATATTACTATCTAATTTTTTTGTCTACATTTCGAACTTTAAGCCTAAAATGTCTCCAAAAACGCCGTTTTCGCACATGCAAAAACCACGTTTTCAACACACAATTTAAGCTACAAATCCGAAACAAAAACAAAAAATTTAGATAGCAAAAACGTAAAGTTTCTAACCAAAAATATTTGACAAGACTCCATGTACACAGCGATATATTTTAACTTCAAAAAACATCTACGAATGGCACAATCTAGGCAACGAACGAATCTACGAACTACGCACACCTCGCTTCAATACAAAGAATACTATTTTTATTGTATTTTAAATATTGGGGTATGTACTACCTTCACGCGCCCACTCTAGTGAATTGCTTAACTCTTGGCAAACAACGATCTTCAGACACCTCGCTTTAATAAATTAACATAACAACAATAAATTTCAAAGAATACCATGTACACAGCGTTCTGTTTCAACTTTGCAATCTAGACGCTACGCACTAATCAACAAAATTAAACTAAAATAAATTTCAAATAATTTTTAAAAAAACAACAATAACGACAGAAATTCATACTAAAAAAAAACAATGAACATAACATTCTACAAAATAAGAACAAGAATAAAATGCACTTACAATGAATTAATGCTTTTTCGAACAGCAGAAATACCAATTTCATACCGCCTTTAACATGCGCCACGTAATCACTATCGTATTTATATGACAGCCAGACACACTATCCAGAAAATTCATACTATGGTTCACAAATAAATAAAATAACAAATAATCACAAATCCCTACTTCTATCATGCACAGCCACTAAAAATAATCTCTCAGACCCTCTTTCCACACCTCCAAATACCCACAGCCCCTCAACAGGATGACCACGATGATATTTCCTTTTGCCGAACTTCAATTCAACAACTTCCAACATTTTATCTTTCCCCCCTATCTTCTCAGACACGGAGCATGACGCGAACCAACGAGCTCCAGCGAAAGATTTTTCAACATCAACAGGGTTGCCATACAACATGCAATCGCGCCAAAAACCAGCGCAAAACACATATCCCCACATTTAGTGAAATTAGGGCGTATATCAGAGTTGTACCATACATTACTATGATAGACGCGGGGCGATAATTTCAGGAAACGTCTGGAATCAAGACACAAACGCAACTCCCAAACATAATTTTTAAAATGTCAGCTGTAAAATCACGAATGGCAAGTATGTTAGCTGTGGATTCTATAATACAGAAAAATTAACATCTTCAGTAATTAGAAATTTTTGCTCGGCTTGCAGAAAACTTTAATTACTTGTCGAGATCAAAATGTATCTGAAATGATCAAAATGTGCTTAGTGCTCAGATCAAAATGTGCTTAGTATCTGAAAATACAAAAAAGTGATTCAAAAAGCCTTAAAACATCTTTGAATTTGTAAATCATTGTAAGAATGGGAAAGAATACATGTACTGCATGAATTTAAGTACGAATGTTCTCAAAAACACAATGGAGTAGTTAGTTTTTAGCTCAAAATGGCTATTAGTCCGAAAACACGATTTTGAGTTGTTTCACTTTACATTGGAGTCTGTTGCTATTCAAAAAAACTTAAGATATTGTTCTTTCTTATTCAATCTGTCTGTTATTAATTAATAAACTAACTTATTTAAAAGCAATTAATGCAGTTCTTAAGAATATTTTTTTAATTATTTATCTGTTCGATGTAGATAAAAATGCATTTAATTATTGATGTATCTAATTAAAAACATGGGTACTTTTCCGTTTTGCCGGCGCAAACGATAAAGTCGCCAATAATGGTACAACGCCAATAATGTATCTTCGCTGGTAACCTTTTACGCCTCATTTTCAAAACAAGTCGCTACCATTTCTTATCAGATTGATTGTTTCTTTCAATACTGGCATACAATTACATAGAATTTTTTACAAGATTTAAATTTTATGCCCTAAAAACAAGTCGCGGTAATTAATTAAATGCAATCACAATCACCGCTCACCTGAAGCGAAAATAGAAAAAGGCAAAATCAAGAGTTAAATTCATCTATTCTAATGAGACGCATTAATGAAATAAAGCACTGCGGTTTTACATAATTTCTGAGTAAGCTTTTTCGTACGAATTGAAATAATTCTTGCATTCAAACTTGTATTCCAAATTAAGCTTTAACTGAAATTAATGTAGTAATTACTGAGAGAATCAGATTTTTTGTAGCGTAGTTTACGTGAAATGAGATCACTTGGGGATTGAGATCACAAAATTTTAAACCATATTAAAATGTTTATGGCTTGAAAATAAAAAATTCTTAGAACTAACATTCGTTAACATTTTTTATGTGTATACTGTATGTTGTCGCCAACAAAGTCTGCTTGGCGAACTTTGCGCCGGCGAAACGGAAAAGTACCAAAACATGAAATATTTTGATAGAATAACATTACGTTTTTTTTTTTTTTTTTTTTTTTTCATTTTTAAATATAAAGAAGGGTAAAATCCTAGTATACGGTGCAGCCTTGGCGCGATTTTGAAAATTATCGCCAAACACCAAACATGATCAAAGAACGTCTATATAAATACTATACACTATATACATAGTATACACTATAGTGTATAGTTATATTCAAAGAAAATTTCTGTTTACTACTCATCGTATATGTCCCGTTTTTACTGCTCATCATTAATTCGCCAAAAGTAGCCAAATCCCGTGTGCACCGGATACTAGGATTAAACCTAAAGAAGATGTATAACGTTTCCATGTTAGTCTAAGTGCATATTTCTCTATGCTATAAAAGGCATTGCTGTTCCACCTGGGCGATCTCTATCGATAATCTCTATTGATAAACCACATTAAACTTTAAAAGAGACATTTTGGGTGATCGTTAGAATATGAACCATTTCGGACATTTTAAGCGCTTTTTTTTTAATTCATTAAGAAGGTAATTAATTTGACGTAAATGAATTGCTAATAGCCTATTAGTTCCTTAAATTAAGTGAATGAGCATAGCACTGATGGCCCAGGAACAAAATAAGATTACGTGGATATCAAGAAGTTACTACGAACCAATATTAATACGGTACAACTTACGCAAACGGTAAGTGATGATACCGCCAGACATTTTCAGTTCGCTATGGTACCTGCGTAGTATACCTGTGTTCTCACGTAGTATTCTTTTTCCCTTGTGTCATTCTCCTTCAGAACTGGAACAGAGTTGGGCAATTTCATATTGTCTCATACAAGGTGCCCAAAGCCTGAGCTAACCACAAACACCCCATTACCTCCTGTCTACGACAAAATTCATGAATTTGATCTGGAATTACTGCCAGACAAGGGAGATAAGTCACGACAACAGTGATGAGTCTGTTACCTGTATGAATGGGTAAATGAAATCATAAATACCGTTGTGATTTAAATCCATCATGCACAGATCTCACAGAGTTGTTGGTGACACCATTTAGTCCCTTCAGCCACTTGTGTTGGTGACACCATTTAGTCTCTTCAGCCAGTCATGATGATGAACTCAATCCATTTCTGAACCGAGATAGAACGTCTGATAAAAAAAACAAAAGAGCCATTAATAGTCAATTTATGTCAACTATAACGAATCTAATTAATAAAGATATCAAAAATTTAACTTTTCAAGTACTTCAACATTTCTTTAACTGTAATAAAATACTGATATCTCAATGAACTGTGGCGGAAAAACTTTGACAAACCTAAAAGCATGAGTAACGTCCAGCTGCAAATTCTCATAGAGATATTTTGAAATTCAATATGGTCAAGTTAGAGCCAGTCTGCTGACTACAGGCGAACCAAGTTATATCATCATTAATAATATCTTAAAGAGAAATCAAAAAACAAAAATATTTACTTTCAAGCAGTAAAGAAATGTTTATTTTAAAGTTATTTAATTAAATTAAGTTATTTAAAAGTTATTTTTTTAAAGTTATTTTATTCAAATGCCATGCAAATATTAAGAAATGAACTAAAGTGTGCTAAAGAATAATTTGTTAACTATGTAATGTTAATATGTGAAATATACACAATTATCTAGACCTTATTTCTTTGAATTATAATTACCTTATCTATAGACTACCGAACAGTTTATTTTTTACTTTTCAGAAGAATGAAATTTGGAAACATTCAATAAATAATATCTGTCGTTTATAAGTAATGAAATAAAAGTACTTACGTATTTTTTTAACCACAGAAAATCCAATTCACTGTGACTGTGATATCAGATGGATCAACAGTACATTCCACATAAATGTGGTATTACAAGGAACGTGTGCTACTCCTGAAGATTACGAAAATTCCTTACTGAGAAAAGCATCTCGTTTTTTAATAGAGCGATGTGACGAAGACGGTAATATAGGAACGAGAAAAAAAATCGAAGCTACTGTGTCTTCATTCTTAAGTTAATGCTTAAACTGAGTTTTATCTGTATCACCTCTCACATCTCAGTTCTGTTTGATTTCTATTTTCAATTAAAGTAACACCAAAAATGGGCGATGTTTTCTCTTTGTTAATAATAATAAATAAATGAAAAGTGGTGTCACATCTTTTCGTGATTAATATTATATCATGCCTGTAATAAAATTTATTTTGAAATTTAATATTCTTTGTAAGTGTGAATTAATTACTTGCTTTATTTCAAATTTTTTACAAAACAGCACAACAACAGTATTTGTATTTGTGGAGAGAATGATAGCACTATAAACAATAATGAAACATTACCTTAAAGATATCAAATATTACTTAAACAAATTCGAAATGAAATCTGGTGTTTCTCAACATTCTACAGCATTTTCTTAAGTTAACAGTCCGTGATTTAAAATATCTACAGATGATAATTTTAAAATAATTTGAAGTTTTGTAATAATTTTCTAAATTCTTAATGCTGGAAACATGAAATATTAACACAATTTGTGATATATCACTCAACTAATCAATAAACTTTAAAGAAACAGTTCCATTTCTTTTAACGCAGTTATGAAAAGACAAATTATTCTTAAAAATGCAACCTATTGCACATGAGAATATTTCACGTTACATATAACCGATTTCATACTTTTCCTGGTTGCATTGACTGTGATTATAGACATTTATTTAGTGCTGTAATGACTTCATAAGTTACATATTGTTGCGTGCGTACGGGTTCGTTATGAATTGAATGCACAAGTCCAGTGAAAAATGAACAAAATTTATTATTATTACAACAAATAAAACAAAATGCTGAAATTCCATCAGGTATTCGTACAGTATTACAATATCTCACAGTAGTCTTTTAACTATTCAAACGTTCAACAGAACTTAATTCAAAACAGCTAGAGAAAGCTAATCCGCGAATTCGCTACAGTGAACAAGAGCAGTTTTCTAAACAACTCTTAAAACAAAAAAACTGCACGAAAGACTTGGTAACAGCCACAAAATTGCGGCGAAAACGTCGAAGAAAACAACGCGGCGAAAAGTCGTGCTCCAAACATCGTGGGAGAAAACATCGCAAAGAGAAAAAAATCGCAGTTCTAAAACATCGTGTTACAAACATCGTCGTCGAAAATAAGCGGTTCAAAACTTTCGCAGTTTAAACGTCATCATAAAAACGATAAAAACATCGCCGTCGAAAATATCGCGGTAAAAATAAAGTATCTCAAATCATCGCATGACGATAACATCGCAGACATGCTTTTTTCAGGCTTTAATAACTGTAAATGGATATTCCCATAATGATTTGTGAGCGCAAGTGATGTAAGGAAGGATAATTTTTACTTTCACAATTTTTTTATTAATAATAAATTTTTTGCTGAAAAAATAAGAAGGAAACTTAAGCATAGAAAATTAATGCAACTTAATAGATTAATACTTTTCATGAAAATTACCAGTAAAAACTTATAAAAATGATTTATAATGGTCTTTGTTAGTTAACTATGTCGGTTAAAATTCTATTAAGTGCTTAAGTTGCATTAATTTTCTATGCTTAAGTTTTCCTTCTTATTTTCTCAGCAAAAATTTTATTAATAAAAATATGAAAGTAAAAATTATCCTTCTTTACATCTTGCGCTCACGAATCATTATGGGAATATCCATTACAGTTATTAAAGCCTGAAAAAGCATGTCTGCGATGTTATCGTCATGCGATGATTTGTAGATACTTTATTTTTTACCGCGATATTTTCGACGGCGATGTTTTTAAACTGCGAAGTTTTTGAACCGCTTTATTTTCGACGACGATGTTTTGTACCACGATGTTTTAGAACTGCGATGTTTTCTCTTTGCGATGTTTTGTAGCACGACGTTTTCGCCTTGCCTTGTTTTCTCCGCGACGTTTTCGTCCGCGATGTTTTTGCCGCGATGTTATCGGCGGCCACCGATGTCTTATGTCTTAACTTCGGGTAAGAGGCAATCTGCCTATTGCGGGATTTACCAATATATTATTCTTGACATTTGTAAATCTTGAGGATCAAGGGAGTTGAATCCACTAACGAATTGAGAGGTTTTTCATGCCGCTTATATAAGCTTTTTAAATGCGCGAGAATTTTCTGGTATTTTGTCGAAATCCAAAAGAGATATTTATTTATTAAATGCACGTGCTCTTGTATTTTATTTTCCGTCTTGCTTTCTTTTATATTCGTCACGCGCTGCACTGTAAGGGATAAAACAATTTATTTAATCTACTACATTAACAATAACACCAAATCCACATAGAAAGAAACATCAATTATGCTACTATAAACGCATTTTATTTTTCTCATATATGTCTTTGGCCCCCCAGCGGCCGAGCTTAAGTCGCTGAACCTGGTAGTTCGGTCCGAGGTTCGAATCCCGCGACGGCTGGCTGCACGGGTGTTTTTGTGGTTTTCCCCATGTGTAACGTGTATACGAGCCAGTTTGCCTTAGAAAGTCCTCCACAAAGGCATCCCTCCCCTTAAGCAGATAGCCCTAGTGTGCTTTGCCATAATTAAATACACACATTATATGTTTTTATAGCTAGATGTACAAGACAGATATAGGTATTGTCGAAAATGCACAACGATAGATATTTTAAAAACATTTAAAATGTATTTTCACAAGTCAAGCTGCAGAAACAGATGAAAAGTTCGTTTCACGAATCCAATCGACTAACGTGTTCCTATTTCTCCTAATGCAGAAACTGTAGTTTTACAATTTTCTGATGTGTGTGGATAACTTTCAGTAAATCTCTTTCACTCGTACCTAACTGCATATATTGTACGAGATACTGTAACTTGATAGTATCGTGTATATTTTCAGCCTCATGTTTCTTCTTAAATTTGGACCAGAAACTCAGTCAATTAAGTCTGCGTCTAATTTTTAATTGCTATTCTAAGAAGTTTAAAGTTCTTAACAATTTGACCTGTCAGTAATTTTTATCTCCTGGACCTTTTTATTTTGTTGAGGAATAGTCAGCTCGAAAAAAGGTACTGGCAGATTTGCGCAAGTTGGCGACAATTCGCCTTAGGCGAAGGTCTTAATGTTGGCGACAATTCGCCAACATTAAGACCTTCGCATGGACGTCTCGGCAGCCTTCAGAGTTGCTTTTCTCTCTAAATTGAACTTGATAATTGTGCCGACAACCTTTCCACGTAGGTGAACAATGGGCAGCGTGAAAAGATGTGTGAGGTTTAACACTGTGTAATTGCAGTCGAAAGTCACCTTTAGAACTAGTTAGCGAATAATCGTCTAAGTTCGTGTGACAAGAAACAGCAAGATGGAAGGGTAACTAACCCTTTATTATTCCAATAAGATTTAACAGAACTCCGTCTTGGAGTATACAATAAAAGCCGACACTTGGGCTTGAAATTAAGAGATTAAGAAATAAACTAAAACTAAGATTAACTAAAGAGATATAGCCGAAGCTATCAAGATTCTAATCGAGTTGGCCCCTTAACTCTATTTGACTACGTAGCTTATCAGGGGCCTGAGTACGGCCGAGCGTAATAACAGCTTTGAGAGAGAGTAGCCAAAAGGCAGACGCGCGCAAATCTTAAACTCTGATTCTCTCTAACTCAGCAAGTAGAACTTCGCGGTTTAGATACCGCTCCTCCTCATTAAGTATTCAGAGTGGTTAGACTAGACTAGAGTGGTTACAAAACTACGTTCTGGCCGGAAGTAGTAAGTTGAAGTTAAGAATTTGACAGGAAAGGAACTTAAAATTTAACTGTTAATAAAATTAACGTAATCCTTACAGAGGTCAGCACCTTTTTCAACTTACCGCGCCCGTTAAATCAACCATCAACTCCAATAAGTATTCAGATGCGAGCGCTGCTGCAAATTTTAATTATTAACCTATAAAATTTTCATTTTACTGCATTAGAGGGTAAAATGCCCACATACATTTTGAGCACTTATAACCAGGACCGTAAGAATAAGAATTTTAGAAGCCCCAAACACTTAAAAGATTTCGGTGCCTCACATACCAATTATACCAGATTTCCCCCCCCCCTCCCATTCCTTTATTTTCGGACTTGTTCAGGGACACCAAACAATCCATAATAAGGCTGGTAATGAGAAATTTGTGTGGTGCCTCCTTTCTCCTGAATGTCTGAGTATCTCTTTTTGTGATGTTCTAAGTGCAGTAAGACCCCGCTTAACGCTGTTTCGTTTAGCGCTGTTTCGGTTTAGCGCTCTTTTATTTCAACCCGGGGATTCCACGAAATCGCTTGCAGCATACGGGGATTCCCTGAAATATTATGCAGCGATAGATTTCAAATACATATCCGAAAGAGTGTACTTGTATTTCTTGTTTGGTGCGGTATTGTACAGACATATTTTGAAGGGGTAAATGTGGAAGATGTCGAAGAAATAATTCAAGAAGCAGCGGCTAGTCTATCTAATGATGAGCTCAAGGAATTAACCGAACAAGAAGAAAACAAAAATGTTGACAGCAGTGATTCAGAAGAAGAGCAAAAAAGAACTGTCGATGGCGTTTGTAAAAAGGAGTTTGTCTACCATAACTGAAATAATGGATCAATTCATTGAAAATGATCCGAATTTTGACAGGAGCTCAAAAGTAAGGCGTGGTGTTAGAGATGCTCTATCCGTTTATGAAGAACTTTTAAGAGAACAACGCAAAAGAAAAAGGCAAACAACATTAGATGCTTTTGTCACAAAAAGGCAGAACACTGAAAACGCGGAAGGCTAACTAAATATGACTGAGAATTTTATTTGTTTTTTTTTTTTTAAGAATATTCGTTTTGTTATTTATATTTTGTTTTTATTTTTGCAAGGAATAATAATGTGGATTAATTTGGGCTTTAAGAAATAAATGTTTGGTTTTATTTTTATTAAAAAAACATACTTTTTAAATTTAATACCTAACCAATTTCCTAGCCATCTTCCCCTAACCCCAATATTTACATGTAAAGATAGCCTCGTTTAGCGCTGTTTCGCATTACGCTCTACTTTGATGGAACGTATCCCCCGCGTTAAGCGGAGTCTTACTGTATATCTTATTTATCGTAATGATTAATCCAGTTTATAGCTACTTCCCCTTTTAATAGAATTTACTATATTTTTATTTAACATGATTTGTCTGAAAATATTTTTTCACATTGTGGCAATAGCAAAAAAATATTCTTTGGTACATTTATTGAAAAAT